AAATATTTGATTCATGCCATAGCTGTATAAAAGTTTAACAAAATAAGCTCATCTTTGTATTCTAAACTATAACATGTATATTATTATACCATTAGATGTTTCTTAAACAGACTACTAATGCCGAAAATTTTATTATGTGGAAGAGATATTTTTAAAAACCAAGTACTTAAATTATTTTTATCAGCAAATTACCATAAATGAGCAACTATCATAAACTGTTCATTCATGTAGAACTTTATTATTTAGGAACTATGCTCACACTTTAGTTCATTTGATTATCCCAAATGGACTGAGAGCGAAGTACCTTCATACTGGAGTGCAAATATGTTAACTTGTTGCCCAATGCTTTAAGAAAATAAAAATGTTCTAGAGTTGAAATTTGAACCAAAATCTAACTTCAAAGCCACAGTGCCTGTGATAGGGAATGACATACATTCGTCTAAGCAAAAGGTTATCTAGTTTAAAAAGAGACCATTTACAAGATACAGTATTTTACTTTTCAGTTAATACAACAATTAAAAAAGAACATTACTGTTCTGGAATCATATTAAGCCACACCATAAAATTGGTTATCATAAAAGGAAATATATATTACTATTCTCCATACAAACAAAAAAATAAATAAATTACCAAAGATAATCCTATCTAATAAAGGGGGCGTATGCAAATTGACTTTCACGCTGTCACAAAGCTGGTGGCGCCCACAGCGGAGGCGGGGTTTCCATAATATAAGATGGTTGCACCCACAGCATAGGTGGGGTTTCCGTAACACAAGATGGCTGCACACACAGCAAAGGCCGAGTTCCCGTAACGAGCCTTAAGGAGCAATCAGCAGGGACCTGACTGAGGCTGCGTGGTGCTGGGCTGGGGCAAGGAACCTGAGACTGTGCCCCCGCCCCCGTGGGGCTTGACAAGGGACCTCAGGCCATGCCCCCCACCCCGGCGCCAGGCTGGGGGACCTCAGGCCATGCCCCTCTCCCTGGAGCCGGGCCGGGGACCTCAGGCCAAGCCCCTCCACCCAGCAGGGCTTGACAGGGCACCTCAGGCCACACCCCCTCACCCCCCACCCCAGAACCAGGCCAGGGGACTTGAGGCTGTGCCCCCTGCCCAGTGGGACTTGACAGGGGACCTCAGGCAGCGCCCCCCACCCGGCAGGGCTTGACAGGGGACATGAGGCTGCGTCCCCCTCCCGGTGCCAGGCCGGGAGACCTAAGGCTGCACCCCCTGTCCAGTGGGATTTGATGGGGGATCTCAGGTCATGTCCCTCGCCGGGCGGAGCTTGACAGGGGACCTCAAGGTGTGCCCCCCGCCCAGCAGGGCTTGACAGTGGACTTCAACATGCATCCCAGCCCCGGTGTTGGGCCAGGGGACCTCAGGCCGCACCCCCCACCTGGATGCCAGGGGGACCTGAGGCTGCGCACCCCCCCGCCCAGAGGGGTTTGACGGGGGACCTGAGGCTGTGTCCCCTGCCCAGCAGGGCTTGACGGGGGATCTCAGACTGCAACCCCTGCCTGGTGGGGATTGACGGGGGACCTCAGGCCGTGACCCCTGCCGAATGGGACTTGACGGGAGATCTCAGGACGCATCCGCCACCCAGCGGGGCTTGATGGCAGACCTCAGGTTGCGCCCCCCGCCCTGGCGCTGGGCCAGGTGACCTCAGGCCACACTCCTTACCCCGGTGCTGGGCCGGGGTACATGAGAGTGCGCTGGGGGGCCTGAGGCTGTACCCCCCGCCCAGTGTGCACTGGGGGAGCTGAGGCTGTGCCCCCTGCCTGGCAGAGCTTGACAGGGGACCTGAGGCTGTGCCCCTCAACCTGCGGGGCTTGATGGAGGCCCGGATGCTGTGCCCCCTCACCCGGCGGGGCTTGACAGGGGACCTGAGGCTGCACCCTCCGCCTGACAGGGCTTGACAAGGGTGGGGCCGGCTGGGTCTAGGTCTTGCACGATTTTGAGGCGCCACAGGTGGGCAAAGACTTGACTCTGGGTCCCACAGCGAGCCCCAGTCTCTGACAGGAGGAAGATTTTCATATACATTTTACTAATTTTCTTTCATCTCTGGTACTTCTATTACAGAGAAAGGGCAAATAGCAATATTAAAATATATCCTCTAATTAATACCCTTTTAATGTGCACGAATTTTGTGCACTGGGCCACTAGTGATTTTATAATTTTAAAAAATCAGATGTTCAGCCACATTGACTGGTTAATACCCTATGTTAGAAGTTCAAGACTCTTCCATAACTTTCTATCATAAGATCTACCATTTCAACAGGGGATATTAAATCATTTCTGTCAGAAGAACAAAGCATATTCTGAAAGTTTAGTGCAATTCTATATTGCTACTACTGACTTTGTCACAACAGTGAGAACACCCTGACTATCACCATCCTTTTGGCAAGTATTTAAACTACACACTATGCATCAAGAATTTCAAGAAACTGGAATAGTTATCTTCTTTATGTAAAAGCAATATGCATATGTAAGCAATTGACATAGTCAATCTCTAGATAAAAACCATATTAAAGACAAGCTCCAGCGGCATTCACCAAAAAACTAGTTTTTCAGTGGTGAACACTTTGGGCTATATAAGACTTGGTACAAAAAAGAAGTTCTGATCAAATGTATTGTATACAGCCATTAAACATCAACTATTAGAAATAAGTCATCATAAATTTTCAACTTCGGATGTAATTCAAAGAAAAAAAAAGGGAGAATTTGTGGTACACAAGGAAGTGGGAGAAAGAAAGGAGAGTTTTAAATAGTTAAGCATACTTCTTCAAACAGTTAAAATTGTATGGTTCTAATGTTTTTTATCTTGACTATCTCAACTTTTTACACCTAAAGAAATAACTATTTTTATTAATGAAATACAATCACTATAGTAGTTTAAAAGATGCTATGCAGCTTAGTAAAAATGACACCAGCAAAGAAATATTCAGGAAGCAGAATTATTATGTTAAAGTATGTAATAATGACAGCATTAATAATACATTACTAAATATTAATTAGCATAGGGCTTTTATTGTTCACAATGTATTTTTGCACATCATCTCATTTATTCCTCATTATAATCCTGGGAGGCAAGCAGTATTATCCATGTGAGAATTGGGATGAGAAAGGTTAAATAACTTGCCAAAGATCAAGTAATTCATTATCTCGAATTCAAATTGCCATGGTAAATTCACTCTCTCCAACTCAGATATGAGTTTAAGGATGAGGATGTAAGTGCAGGACAGCAAGGCAATGAAATGGGAATGGTCTCAGTCAGACACACCTGGACTTGAATCTTAGCTTTGCTGCTTAACTAGTTGTGTGACTTCAGACAAGTCACTTGACTTCTCTGAGCCTTTGTTTCTTCATCAATAGGAATACTACCATTTATCTCAGTTATTAGCAGAGGGTACTTGCTCTATAAACACTGTCTACTTTTATTATTCTTCAGAAAGATAGTTTAAAAATACTACATTTTCATCGAGATACTACTCCAAACATACACCTATTTTTACCAGATGCCCACTCCAATGAAAAATAAGAATAAAATGACGCTCCTCTATTTGGCTCAAATTAGCTGTTACTTTGTATAGGCAAATACACATGTGGCTAGCATGTGGTTATTTCCACAGCTGTGATCAACACTGTCAGAAGTCATGTCTCTTCTGACAAAGCAAAGCCAAGATCGGATTTCAATATGAACATGATGTGAGTCCAAATTACATAAGACCAAAATTACTATCATTTGTGTTTTCCCTTAATACTTCGATCCAGGCATCCCACAAGTTTGTGAGATTGACAGGCTGTTCCTATGTTAAATGGGCCTATCAACTTCATGCTTAGAATGAATAAAATAAGTCTAATAATACAGTTAGTAATATCTTCATAGCCAGGATTTCAACTTTCTTCCCATCCATTTAATAAATCCCAAGTTCTTGAACAGAGGAAGAACATGGTAGTTTCTCGGTAAATACTTTTTTGAAGGAAAGAAAAGAAGAAAATGGGAAAAGGGGAGAGGGAGAGAGGGATGGAGTAGATTGTGATAGGTAGTGTGTGTGTGGGGGGGGGGGGGGGGGAAGTCTCCAGAGGGAAACACCACCTGAGCAAACAGGACCTCACAGCCAGCTCCTTTCTTTCCCACTGGGAGGCGGAGGCCACCCCATGTAGGCGGTGGATGCTGCTAAGATTAAGGCAATTCCTAGCCTAAAATAGCTCAGAGCATAAAGAATACAAATTTAAATGGATTAACAGTAATTAAAACTGTTATATGAACACATTGGAAAGAAACATTCCTTCTGTACAAGGAAGTCATGGAAAGCTCCAAAGAGCAGGAGACACTACCGGGGTGTTTCAAGATCTGTAACAGCCCAACTGAAGAGTATAAAAGAAGAAAAATGTGAAGGGAAAAAGGAAAGTGGAAGGGAATATATCTGGTAAAGGGTGAAGGAAGAGAGAACCAAAAGGCGATGCTTAAAAAGAGTGGTTGGAGCCCAACTGTGGAGTCTGACTTTGATCCTGTAAGCAACAGTGAGTCTTGAAAGGATTTCAGCCAGAACAGCATGGTCAAATTGGTATTTCAGCAAAACAATTCTATTCACAGGATGAAGGATGAACTTGTATGAAATTTGAACTTGAAGTATCCGGGTATTTTTAAATTTTTGTTTATGAATAAAGTTAGCTTTAAAATTTGTGCTCTTATGTATAAGTTAGGAAAATAAGTGAAATAACTGTTTTGTTTAAATTGGTATTGATAAGACAATATAATAGCATTTAAACTGACTGCAAATTAGTTTTTAATAATTTAATATCATTTGACTGATTTCAATAAAACTATTTTTTAACACATGACACCATAATAAGTGAACAACTTCCAAATCATTACGTAAATTCA